TGTGGCTGCCAGAGTCTTGCATTGCCTAATTGGATTTGCATTTTCACGACAATGGAGGGCCAAAGTTTGCAACCCCAGCTCTATAGTATTCCTCTTCTCACAAGAGTCACATAAAAAATTATGAAGGGGAGTAGAGAGGTGGGGGAGATGGGCCAGCACAGTTAGATGCTCCACCTAGAGTAGAGGATCTATAACAAGAAAGGAAGAAGATAGCTGTACTAGGGAATAGACTCTCCTGGAGTAGTCTATTTTTCTAGCAAGTTCAAATGCACATTGCAAGTGAATAAAAATTGTTATTTTTCTGTGCTTCCATTTTTATTTAGTGACAGGTTCTCTTTACGTAGACTTGGAGCTTCATTTATATACTGTGGAAGCAGATTTGATTGGTACAAAGCCCATTGGCCCACTACTTAGTGTGTCATACTCAAGTCATCTTCTGATTGGACACTTTAAGACTTATGGGAACCTGTTGGAGAGTACTGCTAGGTTCTGACGAAGGGAGTATTGCCCCAGAAACGCATTAACCAAGTCTGCCATGCCAGTAGTAGGATGTTCGCTCCACACCGCATGCTTTTGATGTGATTGTCTTCTAATGTTCTCACAGAGCAGATGCATCTCTGCCACTGCAGGCTTACTTAACACCGGCTGTTTGGGAGTACAATTTCTTGCTTTTAATATCATCACTTAATAAAGACTTCTACACTAGAGAGGCGCACTGTTTTTATGTTTCCCGTATATTGTGGAAGCAGCTGAAATAGAACACAGATGAGATGTTTTCAATTGTTACAAAGAGTAATATATCTGGTCTGGTTATACTGTAGCTTTTCAATTTCAACAATAAAAGTTAAAGTGACATTAAAAGGATATTTTTTTCCCCTCTCCCCACAATGTTAATTAAAGCACTTACCTTCGATCTTCCTCTTCTTTCCTGTCCTTTTCAGCCTTCTCTCCAGCGCTGACTCCTCTGCCCTTGCTGGTACTTCCTGCCCCACGGTGTCTGCATGCGGGTGCACGCGTCCATAGACTTACCTTGCGTCTCTCCTCGTCTCCCGGACGAAAATCCGAACTGCGCATGCACCCGCCCCAAGATGCTTTGCGGCCGCCCGAGCAGTTTCAGGTTCTCGACCAGAAGCGCGCGGCAAAGACGGGGTAAGTTTAAACCGCTGTTAAAGCGTTTTTTGGGGTTTTTTAAAAACTTTTTGCATATATCTACTGCTTGCTAGCAGTAGATATATGCAAAAAACGGAGGGTTTTAGAAACCCTTTAATGAAAGAAATGAATTAAAAAATAATCAATGTACAGAAGCACAAAAACCAAGACACAGGTGAGAAAAGTTTAAGATTTTTGCAGATATGCCTCTCTGTGACATAGTGCTGACAGTTGGCCACAAATACTCCGAATGCCTTCAGCTTTGCACATGTCAGGTTTCTATACAAATAACAAAAACATATGTTTAAAAAGACATAGCTCTAACAGGCTGAGCACAACATAAGCCACGTCTTCATTGTCTTTGGAATACAACCAGTACGCAAAAGTGATTAAATCAGGTTCACTCCATTTATCTTAAAGCAGAACTCCGGGCAAATCAAATCTTAACCCTTGGAGGACCCTTAACCCTGCAAGGAGTCAAGATTTCACTGGCCCAGAGTTCTGCTTTTATGGCTATGTAAATCAAAGAACAAATATGTACCATACTGCAGTTTACCAGTCTTTAGATGTTGTGGCTAAACAAGTTGTATTTTGTTCAGCCTAGGTACATTTTCTTCAATGACAGAAAAATACCTGTTGAACCTGCAAGAAATTCAGTGGGCTTGTAACTTCATTGGCTGTGACCTGAAATAATGAGATCGGCTTTCTCGGCTATCTTTTGTGTACTACAAAACATCCTTCTGTGTAATAGAGATGAGGAGAGGTGAAGGTGAAATCAAGAGAGCAGCCTAGGGTGACAACACTGCTCCTCCATAGATACAGTATGGTATGTAATGGTTGTTGATAGGAACAGGAAGTGTGTTACTGGCAGGATCACCAGGTGGAAAGAAAAATAATGCAGATACCATATCTTAGGACTGGTAAGCTACAATACATAACATTTTGTTCTTGGGTTTAGAAATACTTTAATATGAGTTTTATTAAGCAAAATGGAATTAGATTTAGAGATTATAGAGATTCTGACATGGCTTTCAGGTGCAACTGCATCTTTTTTCTGTGCATCACTTCATTTATGCTTCAGGAGTGAACAAGAGTGGAGAGAATGTATGAATCTGGTAACGGCTAGCCATACATGTGAAGACTGACTTCACTTGATTCTCCCATCCACGCTATTAATGTGGTTGGGGGAAACCTCTCTTCCATCTACTCTGTTCAGCCAACTGCCAGCACCCACAGCTGTCTGACTACCCAAAAAGTGACTCCGTCAGATTGGATTGCGTTACTGTTTGGCCAACAATCTTCTAACAGCTCGAATTTTGGCCCTATTGGAGCCTGTGAGAGACTACTACTTAGTACTGAGATTTTCTTTTTAAATATGTAATCTTGGAGGCACCCCAGTCTAAAAATTTATTGGATTTTAAGAGGACAGCCCATGCAAAAAACATTGTGGTTCCCCCTTCATACCAGGAGCCCTCCTTCACATCAGAATCCCCCCTTCATATAACAAGGCTCCCCTTTTACAACAGTCCTCTTTACATCAAGAGTCCTACCATCACAAAATTTAGAGGCACCCCTGTGGAGGCCAGGAGGCACCCTGGTTGGGGAAGGCTGCAATAAGACAATGCCTGGATGAAAACTTATGATTGGACAGGTAGACTGCACTTCCTTTGTCTACATTTAATAGGTAACCTTTAAATAAGTCTATGTAAAATGATTAAGTGTAATTTATCTCTACATGCATGACAAAATAACTAATCACAAGACAGATGCAATCCTACTAAAAAGCAAACTATGACTAACAAGGTATGGGGATCATTATTTTAATATATTCCATTAAACTCTAGTGTATGCCTGCCAAGTGCTTGAAGAATGTAGATCCTTAATGAAGTTACCAAACAAGATTGCGTACTTTATTTTACATGTGACAGAAATATGTGCATCCTGTATTCAGAGAACACGGTGTAAAATTCAGCGAGCAACAACACATACACACATTTTTAAAATCAATACGGAAAAGGTTTTTTCTCAGAGCAGTCACGGGTATAAAGGCCCCTCATTTACCATGTCCAAGGCGAAAAAGAGAAGAGAAAAGACATTCTCTTCAGGCGTAGCCATTTCCATTACAAAAAGCTAAGGGCTGGAGTATGGGTCTGAAGTACTAATCGTTTCACACCAAAACGTTTTACTTGAACATCAAAGACAAAGCAGCCCCGCACTGACACAAACACTCTACTAAATGACCAGTATTTATAGCGTTTTAAAATGAAATACACCAGTAAGTACGTACAGCGTGGTAAATTTGTAATGCTGTGTAACAACGGAAGTTGCATTCTCTTGTTAAATATATTCTATTAATGGAACCAAGCAGTATTCTATCTCTTGCCCAGTCGTTATTTATTGCACTTGCCTGTCACTGGGTCCATCCAAAACTTACGTTTTGGCTAGAGTGGGGAAGGGTTAGAACCCGTATCTGTTTTTTACGGTTATCTGGGGCTCTGTTCGAAAGATCTCCCCTCACTTAGGGCACATTCACTTGGGTGAATCACTCAATTCTTGCCTGCAGAGCTATATGCTACATTGCAGACCGTGTGTGTGACCAGCAGCAGTTGTCAGATTTGTTCTTTGTACAAATTGCAGACACTCCTCTATTACATGTGAATAGAGCCTGTGACCAACCCTAGGTGTGGACAGTGTGCGACCAAGGACCATGTTGGAACAGCATTTTTTGAAACAGCTAATCAGCCAGTTTGTATGCAGCCATAGCATAGGAGTACTGAGTGTGTTTGGCCACCTCTGAAGAGAGCACTGCTCTATTACAAGTGACATATGAATAGAGTCTTTGACCGACCCCGGATGTACACAGTATGTGCCCCAGGACCACATGCGTCCAAGGACCACGTTGGGGTGGCACTTTTGGCCACACACAAACTGGCTGCAGCTAATTAGCCAGCCTCGGAAGACAGCACTGCTCTTTTACAGGTTGCATGTAAAAAGAGCCTCTGACCGAACCTGTGAGTGTGCAACCAGAGACTGCATTGGGACACCATTTGTGGCCGCAGCTAACCAGCTACTTTGCATGTGGCTATAGCATAGAGTGCTGTTGCATTTAGCTGCCTCTGAACAGAGCACTGCTCTTTTACAATTAAATGTGCATAGAGCCTCTGGCCTACCCTGTACATAGACCACGTGCAACCAAGGAATGCATTGGGGCATCATTTTTGACCGCAGCTAATCAGCCAATTTGTATGCAGTCATAGCACAGCGTTTGCGTGCATTTAGCTGCCTGCCTCTGAAAGCATAAAAATGTCCACCCTCATTCGCTTGTCTGAATAAAGCCTTGCTGTGATGTTGATGACAACTTCACCGGACAGGAAGTGAGGGAACATCTATATTATGGACAAAGACAGCGAAACTTCAATGAACTACATTTCTGTCACAATATCAATTTGAATTTCCATTTTTAACTATCATATTCGCATTTGTTTTTAAGAATTTGTATCTTTTTAGCCCTGATGAAGAAGGCATTCTAAAGCCCTCAAAACATGTTGGCTTGCATCTTATACAGAAATAGGCTTGTTGCTCGATTTCTCCATTGTTCTCGTGTGTCCAGTCCGTATCATCCCCCAGTGGCCCTTTTGTGTCATGGAGCTGCCTTGCTCCAAAAGTAATTATTTGTATAGTTCTGCTTTAGTCAACATTTTGTAAGTTGCGTGTCTTTGAACTTGCTCTAAAAAGGTAACAAATAAAAGAATGTACACAAGCAACAATACAAACAAAGGTTCCAGCACAATGAAACTATTCTTACCACGGTAAACACCTTATAAGGAAGAATTGTTCAGTTCAGGACTCACCTGGAGACACAAAGGCTTCTTTGAGATACAGAAGGACATCGGCAAACCTCCGGACATCATTTACCAGTTGCATGATATACTCTGGATCCACCACAGAACTGTCATAGCCATCCGAGTTGGTACTGATGCTACTCAGCGAATTGCTTTTGGTGCTTCGCCCCATTCCCCAGTTTGAAGAGTTTGAGATGGTAAACAAATTTGAGGTATTAAACCGTGAAAATCCAAAAGCACGCCTGTTACCTCCGCCGTTCTGACGCAACATCCCAGCGTGCTTCCGAGAGCTCCGCAGCAAGCATTCAGTGCCACTTAATGCCCATTAGCCACACATCCAAACCTGAAACAAAAATGAACATAACGCATTATATTATTTCATCTTCTCATGTTGTCACTGGCACAGGAAGTTTAAGTATCTAAATCCAAAACTTAATTTATGCATTCTGGGTAAAGTATAGAATGGTTCAAACCTGTCAGGTTAATTTGCCCCATCTGTGTCTTATTTCGGAGAGATTTCCCTTTACTTCCTGACCTGTAGACACAACAGGGAGTGAGAGGAAATATCTCCAAATTGGAGGAAATCCCCTCAGACATTCGTCACTGAAGCAATTGGGCACATTGGAAGATTTTCCATCTATTCCTGTTTCGCCGACAACGTAACATTTTGGATGACAAAAACCTGACATAGGTTTTAACCTCTCACCACTCTTAAAGTCTAAAGCTCAATTTATTTGTAGTTTGAGGCAGAGCTGAACAAATCCCAGGCAGTCAATGCACCATAAAAACGACAGCTTACTACTAACTTTTAAGGTTTTCCCTAGCTGTTGTCATTGGAGCCGACTCCTAAAAAAACCCTGCTCGCTCCTGAATCTGTCAGAGTGGTTCCTAAATTGCATATGCATCGTTCCACCCCTGCTGAAGGGAAATCTCTTCAATCAACAGCCAGAAAACAAACTTAAGGATTCTAACCCCCTTTATTCTATAGAAAACCAAAAAGTTTATCTTGAATTCTAGGGAGATAGAGACAATGTAAAGGCAGCTAAGTGCCCTAGTTAAAATAGTTAATATCAGCCCACTTGAAATCCCCCGATAGGAAGACAGACAAGGTCAGTCCTCTGAAATTGGCCAAGGATCTGATCAGATTCTGCTGTGAACATATCTGCCAACAAGGACACACTAGCAAAAGAGGAGAGAGAGGCTGTTATCAACCTGACTGTCCATTCACAGGCTGGGGCAGAGAGGTGACCAAGCTAGATTACTAAAAAGGCAGTAGTCAAAAGCAAGGTCACCAAACTGGCTGTGCTGACTAGCAGGTTAAGACATCTATATAGGTATTTCACACTTATATTTAGCCACTTATCAAGAGCTCACTTGCATAATTGTATTGCACTAAAGGCACGTTATAAATGCATTTAGCACAAGCTATCATACAACGCAACACATTCTAAATGACACCCCAACACACCTCCTGGGGAGTTGAGCCGCAATGCACAGTACTGCAAAAGCATGGGATGCTGTGAAAAAAAAATGGCGCACAGCACCACAACACACACTATAGAAGTACCGTGTGTTGCAGCTCAACACACACCTGCTGGGAGGTGCGTTGGGGTGCCATTCAGAATGAATGGAAATGCAATGCACCAGCATTCATTTCTTTTTTTTTTTAGGCTAAGGAAATATTAGCAAGTAGAGTAAATATTTGTTCATCCACAAATTGCCAAAAAGCGTTCTTGCAACTTCCTGTGACCTGAACTAAAATTAACATTTTTTTTTTAAATCTGCCTTCCAACCCATCATCTATAAACCACAAATTATCCCTTCCCTGTGTCATGTAAATGACTAGAGGAAGACTTATTTGTAGTCCCAATCAGAAGAGCAGACTGCATGACAACCACAGCTCCATCCAAAGATTCAGTTGGGTAGTGAGGTTTTTTTTTTTTAAATATTATTCAACTTTTTTTGGTTTTGTTTATTCATTGGAGGTGACAGGTTCTCTTTAAGGCGACATTAGGGGTCTATTAGACCCCTAGTGTAACCTTTCCACTTCAACAGCTCTAGCTGGGGAATGGCAGCTGCCTGCTGAGGCAGTTGAATGTAAACAGAGCAGGCAGTGGCTGGGAGGAATAGCCAGTCTGCTATTGGCTATTTTAAATTGTAGTAGCCAATAGCAGGCTGGTTATTGCACCCGCCCACTGCCTGCTGTCAATCAGCAGAGGAGGGCCCTGAAGGAGAAAGTTTTCCTTCAGGTCCACCTCCTAAGAGGGGGCACCATAGGCATGACGGGGCGGTATGAGGGAATATAGACCGTCAGCGGACTGCTGTAGCTGATTACAGCCTGTGAGAAGAGACCGTTGGCAGTCTGAGTGCAGCAGGGAGGAGAAGGGGGTGCTCTTTCAGTAGAGGAAAGTGAGCATTACCTTCTGCTCACCTCCCTGCTTTTCTTCAGCAATGTGCGCAGGGACTAGCAGGGAGGACCCACAGAAGCAACAACATCGGATCTTAAAGCGGCAGAGATACAGTAAATGGGTTGACAAAAGCCCAGACGCCAGGACACAATTTCTAGTCGCATTGGCGACCTGGGATTTGTCAAGCCCTGGCCTAATGACTGTATGAACTGATGTGCATTTCAAGCTTTAACTTTACAAACGTCTTAATATCATGTTACATAGGGGGGTCTAATGTTTTAAAACAAGTTTCTTCTATATCATACAAATGCTACCGGTCATTTTACACAATCCCCTATCAAAAGGTCGCCGCACACACACTTCACATAAATCTCCATAAAGCTCCTTTGCTTTCACAGAACTCAAACGGTAATTAGACATTAACTGAAATAAAAAGGTCTTGTAACTTTTGAAGTTCTAGAAATAGTCTTGTGTTGGTTAAATAAAAGGAAACAAGTCAAAAGACACAGCATGATGCAGCTTTTCGGAACAGGAAGTCAGTGTAAAGGAAATGCCCCCCACAAACCACCAAAAGCTGCAGCAGGCCCTCGGGCCTCAATTTTAATATATATTTTAACTGTAATTTTCCATAGAGCAAAACAATAAAATCCCTTTAAAAATCGTTTTTTATTATATATTGGATTTTGTTCTAGATTTTAAAACTTAACTGGCACATGAGTGTCAATTACCCGAGTGGGAAATTGTCTTAACTGGCCAAAAAAAAGTTTTTTACATTTTGTTCAGCTGCTTTTCTAAAGGCAAACACTCCTATAAACAGCATAACCAAATTCTAACCACAATTTTCTCTACTACAGTTAGTGCACATGTTTTAACAGATGTGCAGTATTGTACAGTAATTTTGCCCACGCACCCTAATGTTGGGTATACATAGTATATCTCTGTGACTGCCTGGCAATCCGCGCGGTTTTGTGCACGATTGCCACGCGGTCAGGAGTCACCCAGGTGTGAACCTAGCCTAAGGTGTGCATATATCCATCATAGGTACCTTTCAGTAGCTGTCAATCTTAGCTAATCAGCCAGCCAAAGGAAATGTTCAATTGAATGCAGCTTGTTTGACCACAGAGAGCAATGTATTCTGTGTATATGGTCCCCTAGATTGTTTCATGGCTTTACAACCAATTAACCTTGTATTTATTGTGCAGACCTAGCAATATTAAAATCACATTAATGTGCACGTGGGATCTAAAGCCATAACACAGAGAACAATCTCAATTAACGGCTAACTATTTCAACACAATTCCAGACTCTAAACTAAATTATACCGTGCAGCATCTGAGGAACATCCAGCAAAATAAAGCAGTGCTCACTCCTGTGATCAGCAGAAAGAGCGATTACCACCATGCATACATACATAGAGCTAAAGAATGCCATCAACGGGAGCAGAGATGGGTAAAGATAGCCACATAGACTGGAGTTAAGCTGGCCATACACTGTTATAACTTAAATCAATTGACATGAATCAGCCAAAATGTTAACAGTGGGTGGTCCTGCTGACTCAACTCAATTATATACACACTGCATGAGAGAGCCAAACAAGACAGAATGAGAGTCCAAACAATGGAATTAGTTCGGAAACAACAGCAAAAGAACGTGTTTTGGGGGTTTAAAGACATCCCGCTTCCTCAGGGTTTAAACAGGATGGGTAGTATTATGGACTCAACAACTGTCACAAATCATCAGGGATAAAAGTGGACCCTGACCCCTTTCAATAAAAATCACATCAGCATGTCGATTTAAAATCATATTACATACATTAGTTAACCAAACATGTTATTTACAATGCATTTATCTACAAAAAGAGTTTCTCTACTTCCTAGTCCAGTTTTGGCACACATTATGTAATGTGCCCAAGAATTGCATCCTGGGAAGGTTACATCAGCAGTGCATTGGTGGTAAATCTCATCTGTAATCTCATGAGATCTCAGGGAAAGGCATTTCCTCCCCTGAGATGTGCATGGTCACATGTGCCAGAATTCTAGGAAGTAAAGGGAGAGCTAGTAACCTGCCTTTAGTAAACATACTAAACATTTCTAAAGGTGTGCTGTTTGTTGTTATTAAAGATATGGGTACATATCCACTTTAATTACTTGCCATGTAGGGTATAGCCAACATCAATGAATCAGCAAAACAGTTTGGGTTGTCTGATAGCGGCAGGTGCCAGCTGCCAGACTGCAAAAGCCAGGCAGGATGGAGGAATCTGTTAGATTTCTTTTGTTCAGCCCACAGGCTGAATGAAAGAATCCTATTGTATGGCCAGCTTATGGGCTCAAACCTCACTAGCACAGGCCTGAAAAAGGAAGGAGTAGGTCTATTTTCTGGCCACAACAGTTTTGCGTTACCTGATTTCTCTATGTAAAGGTTTACTTGAAAGCGGAACTAAAAAGTCTACCGAAAAAAGTAAAAAAAAAAAAAAAAAAAAAAAAAA